AGAGAGAGGGAGGGAGACAGAGGGAGGGAGAGAGAAAGAGAGAGAGAGGAGAAGAGTGGACAGAAGAGTTAGAGATAAAAAGGAAAAAATAAAAAAAGAGGTGGAGAAACGGCAGAAGAGGGAAGAGAGCAGGAAAGACAGACTGACTGAGAAAGGGAAAACAAGAGGGAAAGGGGGAAGAAGAGAGAGAGAAAGAGAGAGGAAGATAGAGAAATACAAACACAGACAAAAGAACATACGAACAGATACACAGATAGACAAACAGACAGAAACAGCGACATAGACACACAGACAAACACACCGACAAGGCAGCGACAGAGCAAACAGACAGCAGACAGAAGACAGAAGAGAAGAAAATCTGAGAGACGAAGAAGAAGAAGAAGAGAAGGTACGGAATAAGAGAGAAGAAGGAGACGGAGATGGCGAGAGGTTACGAAAGAGAGCAAGTCACTCGACCTTTCACAAGAAAAGAAGAGATGCTTCGATGAGTCAGGAGATCAGGAAATATTCGAGAGAAAATATTGACAGGCGATACAATTACAGAGAACGCGTATAAAACCTGTTATTCCCATACCCGTGATTGCTGTGTCACATTTGAATATATAACGACTAGAGGTTTAACATTAAAAAAAAAAAAGTACCAGACAATAATAGTAAATTAGAATGCTGTCGGATTTTCTGAATATTCATAAGTGACACCACATCACTTTCTGAATGACATAACAAATGTAGTTTGTAGATTATCGTTATATATGAACTAGTTTAGATATTAAAACCGGCGATTTATGGCCTTATCAGCTGTCAATCTTACATCACGACCTTCTCGATTCACTAGTAAACTCTTAAAAAATAATAATAATAAAATAAAAATAAATAAAAACTCACCGAACAAATATTCACTTTTTTATTTCCATTATATATCCTTTACTTTTTTCTGATTTCTCTACTTTTTTTCTCTTTTTTTTAACAGAAGGAATGCATGACTGGTGACACGCCTCTATGGACACGCGTAATAGACCTAGTCAACCATGTTCTCTTTCGCTAGATTCACTTTGACAGAGAGAGTGATTTGCGTAATATTAAGTCGACGATTTCCCATTTTCTCTTACATACAGATGAATGCAAACTTATGTATATAGTATATATATATATATATATATATATATATATATATATATATATATATATATATATATAGAGGATGTAGAGGAGCAGAGGAGAGAGAGAGAGGAGAGGAGGGGGTAAGAGAGAAGTGAGACGGTAACAACGCAGATGTTGTTTTTGCTCGTTCTCTCCCTCTCTCCGGGGGATCTCGAGTGAGGTACGCGATAGTTATGTCTCTGTCGTCTTCTCTTCTCTCTGCCTTTCTCTCTCTCTCTTTTCTTTATCTCTCTCTCTAGTCTTCTTCTTTCTCTCTTTATCTGTCTACTCCTCATCATTCTATTTGATTCTTCTCTGCTCTCTCTATCTCTTCTCTCATCTCTCTCTCTTCTCTCTCTCCTCTCTCTCTTCTCTCATTCTCGTTCTCTCTCTCTCTCTCTCTTCTCTTCTCTATCTCTCTCTCTCTCTACTCTTCTCTCTTCCTCTCGCTTCTTTTTTGCTTTCTCTCTCTCCTCTCTCTCTCTCTCTCTCTCTCTCTCTCTTCTCTTCCTCTCTCTCTGATGTCTCTCCTCTCTCCTCCTTCTCGTCTCTCTGCTATAATATAATATATATATATATATATATATATATATATATATATATATATATATATATATACTATATAATTATATCGCATTTAATCTACTCTATCTATCTTCTGTCTGTCTACTCTATCTATAATATTCTATTTCCTATTCTGTATATATATACTTTTATATATATATATTATATATATAATATATAATATATATATTATATATATATAATACAATATGTATATATATATCTATATATTATATATGATAATATAAATATTCTATCATATATATATAGTGATATTATGACTATATATATATATATATATATGATATATATATACATATGTATATATATATACAT